ATGGCATAAGACTTTTCCAAATTTAATTTCCTTCATATGGATCAACAGTTTTGCCAGTAACATTTATTAAATTATCCATCCTTTTTTCACTTAATTGAACAAAACAGTTGTCATTTATTAAATGTTCATAGATAGTGAGCCCTATTTCTGGATTCTCTGGTCTGTTTCACTTACATAGTTGGCTATTCCAATAACATTACCAATTTTTTTTTAATCCAGCACCTTTAAAGTATGTTCTGATATCTGGGATGTAAGTATACCTTGCTAGTCTTTCTTTGCAAAATTTTATTGGCCATTCTTATACATTTAGTATTCTATATAAACTTTAAGATAAATTTGGAACCATAATTGGATACTGTTTGGATTCCAACTGGAACTACATTAAGATTATAAATTGGTGAAAGGGACATTTTTATGATGTTTTCCTATCTAAGGGCATAGTGTGACCATTTTTTTCAAACTTTGCTTTATGTTCTTCAATAAGATTTGACTATTTGGCAAACAAGTCAATAAAAAGCGTATTTAAAAAATAATATTTTCAATGAAGAGGACAAAGGGTTTATAAAATATAAAAGGCTCTCATTAGTTGATAAGATAGGGATAAACAACCATAAGAAAAATGAGCAAAGGACAAAGATAGGTAAAATACGGAAAAGTAAATCCAAACAGCTTACAAACATATGGAAAGATGTTCAAACTCACCCATAAAGACTTTCAAACTGAAGATAAAAGGGGGTAGCTCTTTATACCAGGGTTTCTCAACCTTGGCACTGTTGGCCTTGTAGGCTGGATAACTCTTTGTTGTGGGGCTGTCTTGGGGATGGTAGGATGTTTGGCAGAGTCCCTGGCTCAGTCCACTATAAGCTAGTAGCACCTATCACCCACCATGACTAACAATTATGACAGTCAAAAATATCTCCAGACTTTGCCAAATGTCTCCTGGAAGGGACAAAATCACTACAAGTTGAGAACCACTGATTTTCCACCTATCCGACTAGCAAAAATTAAAACAAAAAATTGATTACACCTATTGTTGGCAAGGATGCAGTGCAAAACAAATATTCTCATGTTGCTGGTTTATGGTAAACAACTGAACAATGCCTATTAAAATAAAAAAACGCATATACTCTTTGACCCAGCTATCCCACTCCTGGAAATAAATTTCATAAAAATGAAGCCAACAATACATAGACATATATTGTATAAGGATGTTAATTGCAGCATTGTGGGCAGTGAACAAAAACCTAGAAACAGAGTCAATGGCCATAAATAAATTATAGTGCACCCACACAATGGGGCATCAGAAAGAATTAGAGCTTACCCTTATCACAATGGAGCGTTTTCTACAAATTATTCCCGAGGAAAGCAAGATTTGAAAGTACATAATATAATTCTTTTTGAAAAACACACATCCCCACATGCTTTTATATATTAATAGAGAAAAAAAACCTGTCCCTCAATAGCTTATTTACACCTACAGAATAGGCAAAAATATTTACATGTCATCTCTCTGACAAGGCTCTAATATCCAGATTATATAAAGAATTCTTACAACTCAACAACAAAAAGAGAAACAATCCAATCAAAAGTGGGCAAAAGACATGAATGGATATTTCTCCACAAAAGATATATACATGGCTAACAAATACATGAAAAGGTGCTCAACAGCATTAGTCATCAGGGAAATGCAGATGAAAATCACAATGGGATACCACTCCACACCCCTTAGGATACATTTTTTTTTTTTTTTTAAAAAGGAAAACTACAAGTGTTGGCAAGGATGTGGAGAAACTGGAACCCTTGTACATTGCCGGTGGGAACACTAACTGGTACAGGCTCCGCAGAAAACAGTTCAGCAGTTCCTCAAATAGTTAAACAGAATTATGAAAAGACCTGGCAATTCCACTCCTCTGCACCCAAAATAACTGAAAACCAGTATTCAAACAAACACTTGCCCACTCATGTTCATAGCAGCACTATTCACAATAGCCAAAAAGAAGAAACAACCCAAAATGTCCATCAATTGAAGCATGGAGAAACAAAATGTGTTATACACATAAGATGGGATATGTTTCAGCCATAAAAAGAGATGAAGTACTGATTCTTTGCTACAATGTTGATGAGCCTGAAAATTATTATGCTAAATGAAAGAAACTAGATACAAAAAGGTCACATACTGTATGATTCCCTTTGTATGAAACATCCAGAATAGGTAAATCCATAGAAACAGAAAGCACATTTAGTGTTCCCCAGGGGCTGGGGGAAGGGAAGAAGAGAAAGCAATTGCTTAATGGCTACAAGTTTCCTTTTGGAGTGGCGAAATGTCTTAGAACTATGTAGCAATGCTGGTTACACAACAATGCGAATGGACTAATGCCACTGAGTTGTACATACAGAGAGTTAATGGATAATCTTAAATTATGTGACTACTACCCTGATTTAAAAAATATATTCTATTTGCCTCTGTATTCCTTTCCTATTGCTGCATAACAAATTACCGCAAATTTAGCAGCTTAAAAAATTACAACTTTTAAAATTTTTATTATTTTTTAAAAAATTACAACAACAATTTAGTTCATGCTTCTATACATCAGAAGTCCAGGTGGGCTTGGGTGTGTTCCCTACCTAGAGTTTCACAGGCAGAAATTAAGGTGTTGGACAGGCTGGAGGCTCTGAAGAAGAATCTACTTCTCAGCTCTTTTAGGTTGTTAGCAGAATTCAGTTACTTGTGACCGAAAGACTGAAATCCCCAATTCTCGCTGGCTGTCAACCAAGAGTCAATCTCAACTACTACGGGGAGCCCACATCCTTGGCACATAGCCCCCTCCAGCAGCAGCACATCAAATCTTTCTCACTCTTCAAATATCTCTTTCTCTTCTGCTACCATCTGGAGAAAATTCTCTGCTTTTAAAGGGCTCTTGTGATTAGATTGGGTCCACCTGGATAATCTCATGTTGCCGTATAATGTGTCGCAGGTGCATTATCTCATCAAATTCACGGGTTCCACCCCACACTCAAAGGGGTAGGGATTACACAAGGGCAAGGGTCACTGGGGGTCATTCTTAGAATTCTGCCTAGCATACTCTCTTAGAGAAAAATAATGAAAACATTTTCTGCCCAATTCGAGAACAATTATTATTTGTTAATGCCCAACATTTCAAAGAGGATTTGAGGTGCCTAAGTGATTTATACCTGGGAAATTTTCAGAACCAGTGACTTACAGATTAACACAGTTCAGGTCTCTCAGCCTCAGGGAAGGGACAGAAAGCTGTTCTTAACAGGTAGACTTCTCTTTCTGAGGCCTCTGCTCTTTCTTTCTCTTTCCTTCTTCTCTTCTGCTAAAGCACTGAATGTACAAAGCAATTGCCAAGAGGACCACCGGTGTTCTCTCTGGCGTCATGATGAGAGGTAAATACTACGGCTACAGTTTAGGAACTAGATAATTGTATTATGTAGATTAGATGTTCTCGCTTTTTGGCCTCAAGATTCCTGTTATTTAGGATCCTAAAGACTTCTTGTTTTTGTGGCTTATTCCTATTGATCGTTACCATATCAGAAATTAAATCTGGAAAGTTTATTAAACACATAAACATGCAAGCCCACATTCTCTTAGCCTTTAGAGTGATGATGTCATCACATATCAGGTAGCCTCTAGAGTGGAAAAGTAAGGCTTATTATTAAATAAAGGAAATAAAGTCTTAGTATTATTATGAAAGTAGTTTGACCTCCTGGAGCTCTAAAAAGGTCCCAGGGACCCCTAGGATTTTCTGGATCACACTTTGAGGCCCACTGGTAGACGTAAATACCGTCAACCGCATTTCTTTAGATTAATCAACCCATATTTTGGTGCATTCACTTGTGCAGCCTTAAAAACAAATCTTTTCCTTTACTGGCAGGTTGCTGCATCCGGTAGACTCATTTTTGTGGCTGATGTATCTGCTTGCAAAAAAAAAAAAAAAAGTTACTTGCTATCACAGGAGGAAAATTGAGCTAGATGTGTGGTAACATATTAAAGCAAAACAGAGAGTCCAAATACTTGGTTCTGTTAACTTCCGAAAGAATCTGCTACTTTGCAAATACTACAGAGGGAAAAAATTGCTTTAAATGGTGCAGCTCGGTCTGCAGTGGAATGATTGGGACAGAGTCAGGCTGAGTCAGGCAGAAAGAGGCTTAGAGATGAGAGAAAGCACTGTGTATTCTTGTCATGCTTTGCCCTTGAAAACTATGCCAAGACCTCTTTTTTGTTTTTGTTTTGTTTTGTTTTTAATAAAGAGATCGATATTTCTTGATTGCTTTAGTGACTCCGGATTTGCCACTTTCCTTTTAAACACAGGCCATAGCTACAGTTATGTTCGCCTTCTTGGTGTCCTGCTTGAAAAAAGTAATGAGATAAAGCTAAAGCCCTTTCATTAGGACTCCACTGCACCCGTTCATTCTCTAAATGTTTTATCCACTTTCTTCTGTTGGTAAGCGCCCCGGGTGCTTAGATCCTGGGCTTCTAGTGTCTTTTTATTGGCAGATGAATGCAACTTAAGACACGAGAGCTGAGGGAGGAAAGGTCTGGCATTCCCCACCCAAGGTTAAATCTTGCCCGAGCCTTGGCAGCTCCGCCAGTCTCTCGTGAGTAGTCTGAATAAACTCCGGAGGGATGGTGACTAAGAGCGGGAGAGAGTGAGTATGTGGAACAGCGCATTCCTTTCGGCGGGGACTAGGCCCTCGGGGAGGAACACCGGGCCGACCCGAGCGTGCGCGCAAGGCGCTCCGCCTGACTGGCGCGCACCGCCGCAACAAACGCGGCTCCGCAACCGGAGTCCTCCATGTCTTCAGCCCAAGCCCTGCAGGTCGGCGGACGTCAGCGGCCTCGCGCTCAGCCCGCGCCCATTCGCATCCTCTGAGTCAGCGACCAATGGGAGAGAAGCCAAATTCTAGGCGTCCGCTGCGATTGGCTGCGCGCGCGGGGGCGGTGGCGGGGGGGCGGTCCTGGGGGGGGGTCTCGCATTCGGGCGGTAACACGCGAGGCGTCCGCAGCCGGGAAAACTGGAGGGCTGCGCGCGGAGGCGGCAGGTAGCCCTGCGCGACCTGGCTCCGCTGAGAGGGCGCCGCTCGCGATTCCACGTTTCCGCGCCGCCGCAGCGCTAGAGCCTCACTGAGGCGGGCGGAGGAGGAGAGGGAGAGGAGGGGGGCCGGGCCGGGTCCCCGCCCTCCGCACCCCGAATGGATGTGCCCGGCCCGGGGTCCCGGCGGGCGGCGGCGGCGGCGGCTGCCACCGTGCTCCGGCGCACAGCCCGCGTGCCCCGCGAATGCTGGTTCTTACCCACTGCGCTGCTGTGCGCCTACGGCTTCTTCGCCAGCCTCAGGCCGTCCGAGCCCTTCCTGACCCCCTACTTGCTGGGGCCCGACAAGAACCTGACGGAGAGGGAGGTAGGCGCGGAGGCGGCCCGGCGGCTGGCCCGGCGGAGAGCGGGCGCTGGGGAGGCGGTTCAGGAGAGGAGCGAGTGAAAAGGGCGCTCGAGCCTCCGGACGCTTTCTGGGCAGGGAGCTCTGCCTTTTCGCAGTCGGAAGGCGGCTCGGTGCTGGCGCTGCACTACTCTGTGCAGGTTTTCGGGCGTCTGTTGGCTGTATGGGGCAAGTCTAATGTGAAGGGCTCGGAACACGCGTCAGGAGCCCCGGCACGCGTGCGCTTCAGGCGGAGTGCCGGTGCTGCTGCTCTGCTCTGTGCTCGGATTGGCCCAGCAGTTCCGGCTGGGCGGCGGGAGGGGGCGCAGCGGGGTATTTGGAGAAAAAAGTGAAAACGGCAAGTCGTACTTTGGGCGTGGGAAAGGGTTAGTAAATGTTTGTTGACTGAAAGTAGGGGACCAGGTGCTAAGTAACCCCTGCTTTTTTTTTTTTTTAATTTTTTTATTCTTATGTTAATTCCCTTACATTACAACATTAGTTTTAGATGAAGTGTTCCATGATTCATTGTTTGTGCACAACACCCAGTGCTCCATGCAGAATGTGCCCTCCTCAATACCCACCACCAGGCTAACCCAGCCTCCCACCCCCCTCCCCTCTAGAACCCTGTTTGTTTTTCAGAGTCCATCGTCTCTCATGGTTCGTCTACCCCTCCGATTTCCACCGCTTCATTCTTCCCCTCCCACTACCTTCTTCTTCTTCTTCTTTTTTTTTTTTTCTTAACATATATTGCATTATTTGTTTCAGAGGTACAGATCTGAGATTCAACAGTCTTGCACAATTCACAGCGCTTACCAGAGCACATACCCTCCCCAGTGTCTATCACCCAGTCCCCCCATCCCTCCCACCCCACCCCCCACTCCAACAACACTCAGTTTCCTGCGATTAAGAATTCCTCATATCAGTGAGATCATATGATACATGTCTTTCTCTGTTTGACTTATTTCACTCAACATAATACCCTCCACTTCCATCCACGTCGTTGCAAATTAACCCCTGCTTTTTGAAAGAATCTTCCCTCTCCCCGCTGCTCCCTCTTTCTTCCCATACCTTACTTTGTTTACCTTCGACAGGTTGGATGTACTCAAATAAGGACAGAACAGAACAACAAACAAAAATCCATCATCTTAATTTGTTTTGATTATTAATTCGGTGAGGCTTTGTTCAAGGACTTGCTGTACCCCCTCATGCCCTACCTCCTGGGATAAAAGCAGATACTGAGATGGTATCACATAATTGGCACTTAATTATAGTTTTTCTTGCATGGTGAATTGTTGGTTCACAGATGTTAGTTTTGCTTCTCAGCTACAGGCGTGAAACCGGAGGTCTGGTATTCCTTTCTAGAACACTACAAAGGGTGAAAGCTGAGTGGGCGCTGAATAGGTGTTTTTTCATATGCCTACCTTTCCTCCCTTCCCTTCCCTCCCATTTAAACTTTACTCTTCTTCCTGTGGTTAGTAATCACCTCTTTGAGTAGCAACTCACTATCCCTGCGTAACAGGTCAGAGCAGGATATAATTACTCACAGTCCAGTTTGTTGGTGCTTTGCTGCTCCGTTTTCAAGGACACAGCAGGGAATTGAAAGTCAGTGTTGAATCCTAAATGGAGGGCTTCATTTGAATTTCTCATATTGTCTTACTCCAGCAAATATCATTGGCTTTTACCCAACTTTAGATCTTCTATTTCTCGGTCTTAAGGACCACCCCGCAAAGCACAGTCACCGTTACTCGTTACCTATTTGAATTTTAACACTGGTTACATTTTTTAACATTGTGAACAGAATGATTTTGCAAGAAGAAAATTATTGCAGTAAATATGAGAGAGTGATTCTGGAGACAGCCACTGACTCTGAAGTGCAGTCACTGAAGCAGAAATGATACTTCCTGAGCTGCTTACAATGAAAGTTTCATGTGAACTGCCATGTGATCTGCACAGTGTGTGCACCTTGCTTGAGAGAGGGGCACACGGGGGGAAACATGCTCCCAACATTGGTATTTGAAAGTTGATCTGTTTTGTCATATGCCCTGGGCAGAGGAGTTGTTATGTCATGTGTCATCATGTGCCCTGTCTAATCAGAGAGCTTTCTAGGGTGAGTGCAATACGTTCAGTGGCACTGGAGTAGAACAAGGGTGCTAGACCTGGTAAATATAAATATTTGCTGATTATGTAACAAACACATAGCACAATTTCTGTTATTGCAAATTGGAGGCAGGTGAGGGCAGAGTTTGAAAAGAAATCTGGTGGTCTAGAAAGGAGGTCATTTGTCTATGAGGACCTTAGACCTTGGCTGATACTGGTGGTTCGTGCACAGTATGGCTCTGTTCACCCTCTCCGGAACCATGGGTTTTTAAAATATCTAATAACTGAAATAAATAGAACAACTTGTTCTCCTTTCTGACCTAATGCTTGCTTTCACCAGTGGACAGTTAATAAAAAATATTAACATGATTTTTAGGCAAAGTGAATGTCAGGTCATGGTCAGTGATGTTTGTGTTGAGATTTGTATTTACTTATAAAACTTTAGAAGGACCAACTTAGATCGTCTTAAATGGAGCTATTGTTAACCAAGTCCAAAGGCAGAAGAAGGAAAAGAAGGACAGAATTTCCTCTATCTTTGCGTGCTCAAAGGATTTTGAGATTTCAGGAAAAATGTTTACCTGTTTCAGGTACCAGTTTCTAAGGTTTTGTTTTGTTTTGTTTAAGATTTTATTTACTTATTTGAGAGAGGGAGAGCACAAGCGGGTGGGGGGGTGGGAAGGGGCAGAGGTAGAGGGAGAAGCAGACTTCCCGCTGAGCAGCGAGCCCAATGTGGGGCTCGGTCCCAGGACCCTATCATGACCTGAGCCAAAGGCAGACGCTTAGCCAACTGAGCCACCTAGGCGTCCCCGGCACACACACTTTCTAAGTTTTAAAGAAGTTAAAAATGGGCTGTGTTCTAATAGATGAAGCCAAACTTTTAATAAAAGAGAGCTCTGTGTCTCCAGCAGTTTTTTATTCATCTTTTTTAGCATGTGATTTGACAGACATTCACTACCTTTCTTTGATGATAAAAAAAAAAAAAACTTTCTACCTATTCTGTCTGATATTCAGAGTCCTACAGAATTTGGTTCTTACCTTCCTTAACAGGCTTATCTCCTGCTACATCTTTCCTCTCCTTGCATCTTCCACATGCCCACATGCCATCCACATCAATCTTCTAGTCATAAATCCAGCATATCCGGTCTCTCCTCTACCAGTCTGTACTCAAAGTGTGGTCTCTGCTTGGAATAAGCTTCCTGTACCCATCTGTGCATATGTTTGTTAGCCTCTAACTTTCTTCTCCTTCAAGGTCCACCTCAAAGAAGTAACCCCATATTTCCTGTCTCTCTTATCAATAACGTACGAATATATATTGCTCATTAGGTTCAGAACTCCTGAAGAACTGAGGATTTGTTTTATTTTATTTTATTTTTTGTAATCCACACAGCTTAAAATATTGTGCAAATAAGAGTTTATTAACTAGTTGTTTAATTGAAACTGGATTCTAAAATAAAGTCTAAATCCGAATTAGAGCTTAAAATGAACATGTTTTCTCCTGACTTTCTGTATCTCAGAAAAAAGCACAAACAAGTTCTGATCCAAAGAATGGTGAAAGGCACCTTACGATAAAATCAATTCCCTTTGCTCACATGGCAGATTTTACCTCAGATAAGCAGGTATTGTCCAGGGTATGGACAATAAGAGTCTGTAATTTGTACATTTTTGCATGTGGGAAGTTTCCCTTCAGGATTAAAAGTATCTATTGAAGAAACATTTTTTTGGTGTAACAGTTTGTCCGTGGTAGCATTGAAAAAGAAAGGATCTTTTGGAGACCCAGTGGCTGAGCTCTGGAGAATGTGTGGTCTTAATCTTCGTGAATGCCCTATAAAAGCACCTTAATATAGGTTGAAAAAGCTGCTGCCGGCATTAGAAGTAGCCCCGGAACATAGTAGATGATCAGCAACAGTTTTCTGATTGAAGAAATGAGGCATTTTAGTGTGGTGGATTCAGAATATCAAGGTTCTGATCCTCCCTCTGCCAATGCTGGCTGTGATAACTTGGGGTAGCTTACTTAACCTTTCTGTAAGGTCAAGTTTCCTCAGTTTGTAAAACAGCGGTAATAAAAGCATCTACCTCTTAGGGTTATTGTTTGGATTAAATTAAGTAAGATAGGTGAGGCAATTAGCATAGTGTGTGGTGCTTCAGTAGACCTTTGCTATTATAATGCTGATAACACTGTGAGGGGGACATTCATCTTGGGCTGATCTCTCTCATAGGAGAAAAGTCAGGTTTCTCATGTAGAATGAGTTAAAGAGAACCCATCTCTTGCCCCTCAACCCGCCTTTAATTTTATTCCTACTTGGCATTGCAGGTTTGCCCAGGTTCCTTTTCCTCATCTTTGTTACCTTAATTGTGCTTTTGTGTTAGGAGTAGAATAAGACTCATAAGCACGTTAAGTTGATAATTAAAAGGAAGAGATTTCCATAACGAAAACCTAGCAGTTAATCATTTTGGGACAGCCGTTATTGAAGGGTATGGAACATGCGTAGGTACAGACAATATTGCTGGAGTGAAGAAGTCGAAGTCCTGAAGGGTGTGGTGGGAACAGGAGAACGTGGGGTGTGGAAGGAAGTGATGGAGAGTGTTTGTAAAGCAAAGGCATGGCAGCTAATGGTTTGTGTTGTTGTGTTGGGAAGACGTGAAGGTGAATAAACGTGTGGAGTTAGAGGAGGCAGTTTCACACTTAATTAGAGGAGACTGTCTATAAAACCAGAGGCAAAAAAAGAGTGGGGTGTCGTGAATGGAACACCACTGTGAAAAGTCACAGCTTTTATCTCAAAGTTAATCTGTCCCCTTTGGTTTTCTGCTGAGGTGTCGTAGGCTGTGGTGGTGCCAGCCAAGTGCACTTTGTTCCTCAGTCGCTAAAATTTACACACTTTTGAAATAACAGTCATTTCTACAGGTCACGATTATTCTTTTCATACCCATATTCAGGTGCAAGAAATTTCCTGATCGAGTGGAGATTGCTAAATGATTTATGCGAATACAAATTAGGCTAAAATTATGAAGGTGAGACTGTTAGACCATTACTTTTGATATCTGGCCAATCAAAAAAGGAATCAAGTCTGGAATATATTTCAGATTATGTTTTGCTTTTGTAGTTGTGCTCTGCACTAGCAAAAGATTTTACAATAACTGTTTACTTTATTGTTCCTCTAAACCCTGAACACAGTTAGCCCATTTTACATTTGGGTGAACTGAAGCATACATGAGAGTTAAAAAGAAAGTTGCCCTTGGCCTTAGATTGTCAGAGTCTAGGATTAGACGCTCCGTGGCCAATTATTTAGCCTGTTACCAAGACTGCCTTTCAGAAAGCACTTAAAAATCAGGGCCACTGATTTAGACTTTGAAATGATCATTTAAAAAACCAACTTATATACATCCCCAGGACCTTGCCAGACATGGTAGGTATAAAAGAGGAGAGGGTCTCCTATTGTGATTGATACTGGAACAATGGAGATGGCAGGTCAGTTGAATTACTTCATTCATATTGTCCCAGAGGGTCTGTTTCAGCTTCAGTCCTCAAGTCTTGACCTCTAAATACATACAATGAGGGAGTGATTTGCCTGTATCCTCTCATTTAATCCTTGCAACAAGCAACCCTGTGGTGTAGGGTTTATGCTTCTTTTATTGGTAATGGAGACGAAACCTAAAAGGAACTTGTCGATAATCACACATCGAATGTTGGGGGTGAAATCCCTGTGGGGTCTGTATGGCGGAGAGCTTATTTCAGAGATTATTTCTACTTTCTTCCAATTTTAAAAATCCATTAAAAACAAAAACTTCTATCCTTTTCATATTATAGACAAGCAAAAAGAAGGACATCAAAGTTGCCTATAATCCTATCATCCACAGATAATTATTCTGTCAAGACTAGGACAGAACTATCCTCTTTATCTGTTCCCCGCAAGCAATAAAACTTAAAATCAGAGAAACCTAATCAGACGGTAGGATCAAGGCTCCCTATTCTGTGGCTAGAAGGGAGAATCGATGATGATTCCCAAACACTTAAACCTGTTTCCAAAACAGTTATTGAGCCAAGTACCCTGCACACAGCTTGCTGGTTGCTAGGCTGTGCAGGTCAGCGTTGGACGGTGAGTCAGCCCTCAGGAGTCTGCCCTCTGAGGCAGTGGTCCTCAGCTCTGGCTTGGACAAAAGTCTCCTGGGAGATTGTTGGCTAGGCATCCGCATTTTTTAAAGCTCCGTGGGAGATGTGCAACCTCGGTTAGGAAGCAGTGCTGCATGGGACCTGGGGGGACGGGCACACACAAAGGTCAGGGGAGCTCCGAGGGTTGCTCCACGAACACTGTCAGCTCAGCAAAGTCTGCCAGGACGAGGACGGCTTCCAGCTAGGCCTTAATGAAGGGGGAGGATTTTCAGAAAAAGATGATGGGGTGAAAATGGGAAAGTATATGCCAAACAATTATCAGAATTGTTGTTGAGATCTCTTTGGTTGATAAGGATGATTTATTAGAGGTATTGGTAGGTTGTTTTATAAGAATAAATTGTTATGAATATTCCAGGTCTGTTGATACCACTAATGGGTTTTAAATTTCTTTTTCTTTTAGGTCTTAAATGAAATTTATCCAGTATGGACTTACTCTTACCTGGTGCTGCTGTTCCCTGTGTTCCTTGCCACAGACTACCTCCGTTATAAGCCTGTCGTTCTGCTGCAGGGACTCAGCCTTATTGTTACATGGTTCATGCTGCTCTACGCCCAAGGACTGCTGGCCATTCAGTTCTTAGAATTCTTCTATGGCATTGCCACAGCCACTGAAATTGCCTATTACTCCTATATCTACAGCGTGGTAGACCTCAACATGTACCAGAAAGTCACAAGTTACTGTCGGAGTGCCACCTTGGTGGGCTTTACTGTGGGCTCTGTCCTGGGGCAAATCCTCGTCTCCGTGGCAGGCTGGTCCCTGTTCAGTCTGAATGTCATCTCTCTTACCTGTGTTTCTGTGGCTTTTGCTGTGGCCTGGTTTCTGCCTATGCCACAGAAGAGCCTTTTCTTTCACCATGTTCCTTCCACTTGCCAGAGAATGAATGGCATCAAGGCACAAAATGGCGGCATTGTAACCAACACCTCAGCTTCTAACCACCTTCCTGGGTGGGAGGACATTGAGTCAAAAATCCCTCTAAATAAGGAGGAGCTGGTAAGTTTAGCCTTAAATGTCTTATGGTTGCTAGAGCAGTGGTGACAAAACAGGCAGAACACACCCCCTCTTTCTAGACCTTGTACTCATCTGTTCAGGTTTTTATCCGGAGTTGGTCCATTGGTTCATTCATTGATTAAAGGTAAGGCTGATTTATATAAGGGATGACAAATATATTTGGAGTGAATGATCTCCAGAGTCAGACTACACAACATTGTATTTCTTGTGACAGAGATGCCCAGTACTTGGTATATAAAGAAAGCACCCAGAAAATATTGCTAAATGAATAGATGAAATGATTCCAATAAATGATGAATATCTACTTCTAGTTTTCTGAATTGAAACCCGAAGTATTTAAGGTTAGAAACTTAACTTCCTCTTCTGTGCTGGAAGTGATATCTATATTTTCAATTGACACTTCCCCACAGTGGGATAGTAATGAATAATACAGAGGAAGATAATCACAAGAGGAAAATTTAAGATGATGATGGAATACATATTAAAAGTGTGACTATGAAATTGTCTCTTAGGTATGGCATTAGAATAATCCATCCAGGGCGCCTGGGTGGCTCAGTTGGTTGGGCGACTGCCTTCGGCTCAGGTCATGATCCTGGAGTCCCTGGATCGAGTCCCGCATCGGGCTCCCTGCTTGGCAGGGAGTCTGCTTCTCCCTCTCCCACTCCCCCTTTGTGTTCCCTCTCTCGCTGTGTCTTTCTCTGTCAAATAAATAAATAAAATCTTTAAAAAAAAAAAAAAAGAATAATCCATCCATATGTTCTGGCTAGCCAGGAAGATTAATTGCTTCCCCCAATCATTCACCTTTCTCTATAAAAGCTTTTTATCTTTCCAACAGGTTATAAGCTGTGAGGGGCAAGGTTCATTCCAACCATACTGAATTAGTCTTCGCTTTCATGGGGCATGTTTGGAAATAACCTGTTAACATTCTCACTCTGCTGGTGGGCTCTGTCAGTCATAAAACTGAGCTCTATAAGCCTGGTAGTCTGAATGAGAGTAGAGGACCCACATGAGTGGTTTTCGGCTCCCCACCTGGAGTTAACTCAAATTGTTTCTATGTGGCATCTAATTACTCTCTGACGCCTACCCCCGCTCTTCACTTGTGGGTTACTAGTTGAAACTTAGATTATCATCCCAAAGAGCTTGAGCCTAGGTGACTCTGGTCATGAAACTCACTTTGATTACTAGGGCACCTGTAGCAGCATCAATCAAATTCCCAGGATTAAGTAGGAATGCAATGCTGATTCCTTCATAGTTTGTTAAGTGATGTTGGCAAGTCAACAAAGGGTTGATGGAGGAGGGAAAGAGTTATAATCATTTGATCTTATATAGTAGAGAAAAAGAATAAGGACCCTTTTAAAATTCTGTTTCAAATGTGTTAAAATGACTACTAAAATTAATATGTATATACATATGCATAATATCTATATATATATTTTAAATATTAACATTGGCCATACTTCTAAAGATTTGTATAGACCAGTAAATATTAAACCATTTTGAACATGAGTAAAAAACATGGTAAGAAACACATCTTACATAGGAACAAGTTCCACTTGTAGGTGTGTATATATTTTCTATATAACTGAAGCAGAGGTTTTACAGCACAATACTTTATCAATAGTTTGATGAATTCATTTGGTAAAAACTTTGCAGTTTTATTTTAGTTTTAATTTTTTAACTTAAATTTAACATATCGTATATTATTTGTTTTATTCATTTCATTTTTTACAATGCAGATCACTGCCCACTACATTAATTTTATTATCTGTTAATGAGTTGTAACTGACCATTTAAAAACTCTGTCTTAGACCAGCTTGACATTTGCTGTTTATACATATGCAAAATGTCAGTACTTGACATGCTGAAGAATTATGAAATTTTAGAGTTTGAAGTGATTCTAACCACAGGCTGTAGGACTGTCAAAATATCTTAAAGTTACAAGGGACTTCAGATGCCATCAACCTCATTTTAGAGAGAAGGATTGGGAACAGGGATTAGTGGCTTGTGCCGAATTGCGCTGATAGACTCTGTAACATCATTAAAGAGCATATATGAGGTCCACTTTGATCTGTACTTTGGCTGCATAAAGCCTTTCACTGGGGCGACAACATGGTCAGAACCATCATGTTGGCTACAGTGTGGTAAAAGTTAGAAGCAAGTCAGTTCCATCATATCCTTGGCAGCTGTATAGGGCTAAAATAGTGCTGTTTCTCTTGACAAGCTTGAAGGAAGTCACAATATGGATATTGGGGATCGCCATGCCATATTAAGTTGACAAAGTCCATAACCGAACTGTAAATCATAATTGTGGTAAATATAGTAAAGAAGAGTAGGTAGGTGGGTGGGTAGTTTGATCTTGACTTTATGGAAAGGGAAAATGAAGTAGGAGTCAAAGTGACAGCCCCGTCCACAAGTTACCTTACAGTATTTGTGAGTTCTTTTCAGAATGAGCCTATTGCTGTGGGGCAGAGTATGTCGACATCCCAGCAAGGCCAGGTGTTCTCTTTCCTAAATAGGAAACGGGATTCCTTCTGTGCTTGGCCTATAATTGGACCTGGTTTATTTTCAATTGCTCATCCATTAGAAATGATAGAAATTAAGCCACTTCTTTAGCACAGGGCCTGACACACAATTAATACTTAATAAACAATAACTGTTAGCTATACTTTTATTTGTAGACTGATACCCTTTACGATGAGTAAGCATTCTTTGTGTATGTGTGTGTTTGAGTGTAGCAACATTAATGTTTCCACTTTGTACTTACTGTAATTTCTAGCAGCACACCATAGTGGATTTTGAAGATCAAACCAGCATTCTAGTACTTACCAACAGGGTGATCTTGGGCAAGTTACTTAATTCTTTGAGACTTTAGTTTCTTTCTCATTCTTCTGTCTACCTCACAGGGTTATTTCGAGTGTTAAATTTAGAGGCAATGTAAGGGTCTCAAGTGAGTATTTGTAGTAGGTAATCAATATATATTCATTTCTGTTATCATCTTTATCATTAGACATGAGTAATCAAGAACAGCTTTGTGCCTTCACTGCAGATAGTTATTGTGAGGCTGCAAATAATCTTTCACTTTGAATTGTTTCCCCTTGGTCTTCTGAACTTTATGAAAGGTGTCACTAGAATCCGGTACTAATTCTACCACTAATTCTTTAACTGAGGCTACTCTTAAACGTAGAATGTTAAACCAGATGATCACTAAACTTTCCTTAGCTCTAGAATACTGAGTTTTACAAGCTGATTGATCTGAAGGTACATTTTTCTTCAGATTGCCAGGCATGACACGAACACCTTGTCCTTTCCTGTCCAGTCACCCGTATAGTTAGGAACACATAATATCATAGAAGTGGTTTAATTGCAGTCACCTGCCCTTGACTTAAATCTTCAGTTTAGGCATTAAACCCTACTTATCTTATCCCTCACCCCCACATAGTTTCCTATGGTATGTAGAAGAAAATCCAGAACTCGCATTGTGGCCTTGAGACCCCCTACAATCTGGCCTTATTTCGCGGCTCTGCTCCACATGGACCTGGCTGAAACACATCAAACTTATTCCCACTTCGGAACTTCAGCCCGAAGATTCTCAGTCAGGACTGCCCTTCATTCAGATTTTCATGGCTGGTTCCATATTTCACTCAGGTATCAACATGAGCTTTTCAGAAAGCCTTTCGACACTCTCATTGTCCTTCCTTTTCTCTACCACGGTCCCTTGCCAGCCCATTACCTGCTTTCTTTTCTTCATAGTATCATTCCTACTGTAAACTCTCTCATGTGTGTGTTTATCGTCTATCTCCCTTACCAAAATGTCAGTTTAATGAGGGCAGGGACTTTTCTGCTGTATTCCCAGAATCTATCGCCAACCACGCAGTATGGGCACTCGTAAATATTCGTTGATTGTATCAATGGGTCATGATAGAGTACAAAGGAAATCAGCATTTAGTGAGCACTTGCTACATACTGAGTAACACCCATTTAGTTCTTCCAAAAGCCTGTTGAAATAAACATTAATTTCCATTTTATAGTAAAAAGCCTAAGATTTAGAAATTTTTTCCATCTGCGTGTAGGCAGGTATACTCCTGCTGTTCTTTATCATCATTATCGCCTCAGCTCCCATTTATTTTGACCTGGGTACTTGGATACTGTGCTAAGAATCTTAGATTCATTAGCTCGTTTAATCCTTATAAAAACTCTGTGATGTAGGTATCACTGTCCCCCTCGTACAGTTGAGGGAATGGAAGCTTACATCAGATAACTCACCCAAAGGCACATAGAAAGTAGCATGGTCAAAATTCAAACCCAGATCCAGTTGACTTCAGAAACCACTGTATTAGAGACTCCTGTTCCTTGGTGAAGAGAAATAATTCTTCCAAGGTTTTTTGTTGTTGTTTTTGTTGTTTTGTTTTGTTTATAGAGTCAGAACCCATTCTTAAAGTGAAATCTGAAGCTAGATGCCCATTGTGATAAATGAGTAGGAGTTGAGTTTAGGGATGGTGTGAGTAGGCATCTATGGAGCATTGCTTGGTTCTCATTCCACTGAGATTATCCTCGCATTTTAGGGAGAAAATGGCCTTTATTTACTTAATTTCAAGAGTCACTATAGATAAAATATATAGGTAATAAATATATCATCTTAATAGGAAAAAATCTGATTTTATAAAAAGATTTATACTTCATTTTTTAATTAAACAGTAAAAGAAAACTACATAAAAAGTCAGAATCATCTGATCTGCTAGCACCACAATAGTAGATTGTATTAATAAACTATTAATAGTTTAGTGACCTTCCTAAACATCTCTTTTCATATATACATAAGTATGTATTCATAAGTATACATTTTATAGTACATGAAATTATAGTCTACATGGAGTTTCATAACTGCATGGGGTTTTTTGCTCCATGGTATGTGATACTTATCTTCCTATGTCTTTTCATGTTAAAATAGCTTTCAGAATCTAAAGAAATGAAATGGTGACAGTAACTGGTGGGAGGTCTGTGTTGGGACAGTGGGCCCCCTTTCCCTCCAGGCTGGCCCCAAGCACAAAGCCAGAATTGTATAGAGACTCACATGAAGGACATAGTCTGCCTTTTCCTTGTCACAAACCATTCCCTCTGGATATCTCCAGTCACACCCCGGCCAATGGATGTGTCTGAGTTGGGATGAGGGGAGAGAGTGTGTAGCCATACATGGTTGTGCCCTTCCCTGTTATAGCTTAGTGCCCTTGAACTTCAGATAAGTGTACTCTCCCCAAAACAGTAGCCAAAGACAGGTCAACTCTTTTTTTTTTTTTGCAAGATTTTTATTTATTTATTTGACAGAGATAACAAGAGAGGGAACACAAGCAGGGGGAGTGGGACAGGGAGAAGCAGGCTTCCCGCAGAGCAGGGAGCCTGATGCGGGGCTCAATCCCAGGACCCCGGGATCATGACCTGAGCCGAAGGCAGATGCTTGACTGAGCCACCCAGGCGCCCCAGACAGGTCAACTCTTAACCGGTGGTTAATGCCCTACTTTCTAGTTTAGGAATGAGGGCTCGGTGAGATACCAGGCCAAGGCAAGAATGACTGATCTGGGAGCAGAGTAAGTGTACAACAGGCCGGAGCAGGAGAGAGAGTGTCCTAGAAGCATTTTATGTTTGGAAGAACTTCACTGTTGTTAAATTGCAAACCTGTCTCAATAGTACCAATTCTTCCCTGATCCATATTTTGTTTTGTCTTTTTTTCTTGAAACCAAATGTACATTGTTACCATCACTTAAGTCTCACTCTGTATGTTTTTACTGTGTTTCGGATAATGGAATATCAACAGCTCAGGAGATAATGATAGTCTCCTTTTCGTCATGAAAATGTTTGTTGTTTGTAGCAAGAGTTAGTATTGGGATTGTGTCCTTCAGAAGCACTTAATAAAAGAAGCAAACTTACGCTCGGAAATTTTTCTATCCTAGCTGTTGTTTTGGCTACAAACTAGTCCCCCTCTGTGCACAGCAGGGCTGAGAAATGCATGGTATTGTAACTTGGCCTTGCAAACACCCAACTATACCAACTATACCTACCTGTGTTCACATCTGGAGGTTCTCATGCCCTGCAAGACCTGGTGTTTGAGATAGACTTTGGGAGTCAGATAAGATTTGAATAGAATAGTGAAGAACATTCTAGGCAAAGGAAATAGAACAAAAGCATAGCAGAAGGTACTGTTAGAGGCCATTTTAGGGTTATTAATTGGCCTAATCTCAATGTTGCTGTGCCTCAGGGAATAGGGAGGCCTGAAAAGAGGGAAATAGAGGGAGAATGGCCAGTTGGTAGGGCAGACAGAACACACACATTTACTGATTAAGTTGGCCGTCTTATGTGGGTACTGTTCATGGCACCCCAAAACAATTACAGTAGTAACATCAGAGACCACTGATCACAGATCACTATAAAAAATACAATAATGAAAAAGTTTGAAATATTGTGAGAATTATCAAAATGTGACAGAAAGACAATGTGACAAACACCGTGGGAAACCTGGCTTGATAGACTTGCTCGACACAGAGTTGCCATAAACCTTCCATTAGTTAAAAACACATATTTGCAAAGTGCAGTAAAGGGAAGCACAATAAAATGGAGTATGCCTCCATGCCGTTTGTATGCATAAAAATAAATAAGCAGTTCACAAGGACAAAGAAAAATGTGTGTCAAATAGAACATGAAGTCTCTAACAGTTGTTTTCTGTGGTTGCCTTCCTAGTATTTGAGCTTTCTTCCCCTTTTCCTCTGTAGGAACCCAAGCCAGACCGTCTCCTTGTGCTGAAGGTCCTGTGGAATGACTTCTTGATGTGCTACTCCTCTCGCCCTCTGCTCTGCTGGTCTGTGTGGTGGGCCCTCTCCACCTGTGGCTATTTCCAGGTGGTGAACTACACACAGGGCCTGTGGGAGAAGGTGATGCCCTCTCGCAATGATGCTGTCTACAATGGTGGTGTGGAGGCCGTGTCCACCCTCCTGGGTAAGCAGGGTGGGGCGGTGGTTCTCCCTCTGGTGGTTTAGTCAACATTAATCAGATTTCCCCTCCCCTCCTAAATTTGAAGTGACCCCAAGGAATGGTTTCTTTATTTTGAGTTCTGATTTTGTAATTTAGGAAGAAATTTAGCAGCGCTCAAGTCGTGGATGAGCATGATTAACAAACTTGAATTCTTTATGTCCTTTAGGGAAGCCTTAATGTAAATGATTTTCAAAATTGTCTTCTTATTCAGGTTTCCATTATCTCTGTATTTATAAGGTGCTTTTGCCACTTGATGTGAAACTTTGAATGGCAATATACAGTAGTTTATAGCAATGGCTACTATATGTTGAGTGTTAATATGCAGTAAGTGCTATTCTAAGGACTTACGTGTATTAACTCAGTCCCCACAAAATGCCTGAGACACGTACAGTTGCTATCCGTATTTTACAGTTAAGGAAACACGGACGGATAGGTTGATAACCTGCCCAAGATCAGATAGATGGTAAGTAGTAAAGTCAGGATTTGAACTCAGAGCCTGTGTCCTTGACCATTGTATTCTATCGCCCCTTTCTAATTTGTTGACCTACTTCTTAAGATTTTTAGAAGAGATCCCATGATGTCTATAAACACTTAGAACTGTGTCTGGCACTTAGAAAGCACTCTGCACATTTTAGCTATCATTATCAGCCTCGTCATGTTACCAAAGAGCAGAGATGCCCTTTTGCCATGTTCTAAACAGCTCCTCAGTTAGGAGAGGGGGTGATCCCTCCAGCCACATTGTTGAGCTGGAAGCAGTGGCTGTTTTTGACTCCTGCCTTGCGCCAGCCTCAGTGGCTTTTCCTCAGCAGCATCCCTGGGTCTGTGTCCTCCTTTTCCATCTCATTATCAGTTGCTCTCATTCAGTCTCTCCTTGTCTCTCAGTGTGGCTCCATGTTATTTATTCCATCAAGTCCAAAATTCTCTACCTGACTTTCCAGGTACTCCCTAATCTTGAGCTACCCTATTTATAAGTTGCAGGGTTTTAAAAATTTAATAATCTAAGTTGAATTTTTAATTCATTAAAAGAGCACTTGTTTAGCAAAGTAACTGGATCGGTTTTCTCTGTCTTGTTTTGTAGGTGCTGTTGCCGTGTTTGCAGTGGGTTACATAAAAATATCCTGGTCGACGTGGGGGGAGATGACGCTGTCTCTGTTTTCCCTGCTGATTGCTGCCTCCGTGTATATCATGGATACTGTGTGTAACATCTGGGTGTGCTACACATCCTATGTGGTCTTCAGAATCATCTACATGTTGCTCATCACTATAGCAACGTATGTATTTTGAGTCAAAGAAGCATTCGGAAAAGTTGTGACAGGATAAACTTTTTTGGTTTCTTTACAAACCAATTGAAATTTCTAGTTAAAAGAGGCAAACAGGAGGAAGCGTTGTATTATATGTTTTTCTCCTGAGGAAGCACGTAGGTAAGGCTCATTTATTTCCTTGTTCGTATATTCCTATGCTGTTCGGAAGTTTGCATGAGCTTTACACCGCTTAGCAACAACATGCTTTTCACCTGGTTGGCAAGGGAAGTGACAATAGAAAGAAGGGGCTACTCTTCACAACTGAAGTAGAAATCTTAACCACCTTGGCAGTGATTCTTATCTATTCATTCTTTTGTGGATTGTTTTAAGTTTTCAGATAGCTGCTAACCTCAGCATGGAGCGCTATGCCCTGGTGTTTGGTGTGAACACCTTCAGTGCTCTGGCCCTGCAGACACTGCTCACCCTCATTGTGGTGGATTCCAGTGGCCTTGGCTTAGACATCACCACTCAGGTAAGATTTCTGTTTCGACACTCAAGATGTTATCACTCGATCAGGGTGACCGAGTGGATCTTCATGAAAGCAAATTCGAACAGTGTAGACAGATATAAAATAAAAAGTAGAAGTGTTCCCTCCTTCCTTTAGTCAACCGCCATCCTTAGTTCTTTTCTCCCTGGAGGATGTTGGGACCATCATCTTTTTGATGGGGACCTAGAACATTTCTGAGCTGAACATTACTAAACAGCCCAGTAGAGCCAAGAAGTAATGTTGGTTCCTTCCAGGCCGAGCTTTTCTGCTTCCTTGTCCAGTATTTCCTTCCATTTTTAATTCTGTGCGTGGAACACTGTATCCCGTGTTGGAGATGCTCTGCTCCATCTCACAGTACTGTATGTCTCCTCCCTTCTTTATCGAAAATACCACCCACCCAAATACCAGGGTAGTGACTTGCTGCTGCTGAATAGCATGGAGATTCTTAACAAGTGACCCCTCGAGGAGACAGCTGCACACTGTGACATTGTGGATACTTGTGTTCATTCAGGAAGCGTACAGTCGTATATGCTTCGTGCGTTGTGAGTTCGTAGGTGGGGCTTGCTCTGTACTCTGGCAAAATGGGCAATTGAATCAAAAAGTGCCTACCGCACCCCCATCCCAACCTAGATGACTCTCTCCATACTTAGATATTAGTTTTCTTACTATACAAAGGCCCAACATGGTAGCAGTAATTAACTTTGTTTTTACTAAAGAGATCTAACAGAAATGATAATCATAGTAGCTGATGGGCACCGAGTGCTTTCTGTGTGCCAGGTACTCTGTATAGCGTTTTGCAAGGTTGTTGTCAGGCTTAGACATCGAGAGAATGAGTCTGAGAGATGTTACGTAATGTAAAGTGTTGTTTAAGGTTGCATGGTCAGTAATGATGTGGCAAAGCTGGGATTTAAACCAGCTTCTAATTCTAAAGCCTAATCATCCCTCACTGGATTATACTGCCTCAAAAAGGTGGGCGGGGGGAGCAGAGGAGTGGGAGCTTATTACTTTCTGTATGATCCCCAATTACTACCAGCAGTGAACACCTTGAGAAGACCTCTCAAGGGTTAGGTGCTTAGATTTGGAACGGAGGGTAGGAGAGAAACTAAGTGCTTATCATCATCCTGCTATAGAAATAGTGGGTTTGAAAATTAATAATTCTCGAATTGTGTAGGCTCTGCTGAAACTCTTAACTGCCATAATTAATCAACAGGTTTCCTATAGGAAAATGTATCCAAATTTTGAAGAACCTGGCTCGAAGACTTACAGTGGCACCCATATGGCACTCATGAGCCAGCTGATAGTTATTTCATAAGTTCTTTTAAGAAGATGATGATCATGATGAAGATGCTGATAAACTATATAGTCACATTCAAATATTAGCCTAGAGAAGATCCGTATGAAGAGTAAAAGGAGGGCGCCTGGGTGGCTCAATTGGTTAAGCGACTGCCTTCGGCTCAGGTCATGATCCTGGAGTCCTGGGATCGAGTCCCGCATCAGGCTCCCTGCTGGGCAGGGAGTCTGCTTCTCCCTCTGACCCTCCTCCCTCTCATGCTCTCTGTCTCTCATTATCTCTGTCTCAAATAAATAAATAAAATCTTTAAAAAAAAAAAAAAAAAAAGAGTAAAAGGAAATCCCGTAATGGAATATAGTTGACTTTCTACTGCCCTCGTCTGGGGAAGAACAGAAGTTCTTTATCTTCAGAATTTGGCCTGCTAGTCACACTTAACCTACCAACTTGGGGGCAAGAGACCATGATTCATTTGTAACAATAACAGCAACAAAAATAAGAAAAAAAAACACAAAAAACCAGTAGTATTAGCAGCCTTAGCATTGTGTGTTAATAAACACTTATATACATGATCTCATCACTTCCAAGCAACCCTGTAAAGTAGGGAGTGTTGTGAGTTCCATTTTGTAAATGAAGTCGAGGCTCAGAGATGAAGTATCTCAGTGAGGGTCACACAGCTAGTAAGGGATGGAGTCAGGAGCCGCACTGAGGCGGTCAGGCTTTCGTCCCACCAGGCTGTGCTACCTCGTTTTATTGTCAGCACCTGGCAGGTTGTATAAGCATACAGTGTTTTGTGAAGGCTTCCTGAGAAACTGAATATACCTTTAATTATAGGATATGTTCACATATATAAAATAAAACATCTCATCTTCTAATTGATAATTCTCTACATTACTTCTTTCCCCATCCCCTTTAGTTCCTGATCTACGCTGGGTATTTTGCACTCATCGCTGTGGTTTTCCTGGCTAATGGTACAGTTACTATTATGAAGAAATGTAGAAAGCAAGAAGATGCAGAATTGAGTTCTCAAGTATCTACGTCATAATACACGGCTGATAAGCTGCTGCTTATAGCAAAAACTGCACAGCAACTGTGCCTGGATGTATTTAATGTTTTAATATGTAGACGTATATTTATGAATGTGCTTTTTAAGGCTTCAAAGCAGCCAACTGACTATACTCTGTGTTCCTAGAGTAACAATACTGTTTAGAGGAGCCAGAGGTGAAGTTTATCTCGTGGATTATTTGTGAAAGCTGTTTTAAGGATTACTTTGTTCTGCTTGAACTTGATTTTGAAAACCAAGTAATAAGAGCACTCAAGCACCACATGGCGTTTATACTTTTTTTTTTTCAAGATTTTATTTATTTATCAGAGAGAGAGACAGAGGCAGGCAGAGGGAGAAGCAGGCTTCTTGCTCAGCAAGGAGCCCAATGTGGGACTTGATCCCAGGACCCTGGGATCATGACCTGAGCCGAAGGCAGACGCTTAACCGACTGAGCCACCCAGGTGTCCCACATGGCGTTTATACTTGATAGCAAGTGAGTATGGTGTTTCATAGGTCAAGTTACTTCCCTGTATCTGATCAGCCAGGGGCTTGGCCTGGTGGGACCAGGGCTTCCCAGGGGCCATGGGATATTACAGGTCAGAAGAGAAATAGGTTCTAACAGCACCTGCCTCTGTTCAACTTAATTCTTATTTCTGTGTTCCTCATGTGCATTTGTGTTTCTATAGAAGAAAGTTGTTCTTATCACTGGCAATATTTGCTCTGGTTTGGTGTTCTGTTGTATTAGGAATGTGTGTCATTTCTAATTTTCAGTTATTTTTAAAAATTCATTGTATGAATGTTCTGTTTCCATCTTGACAATTTTGTATTTATGTAGATTATCTTTAGAAATATACTTCTGCTTTATTCATATGCTTCCCAGAGAAGCTCATTTAGTTAGAAAATAAGGCAAGTTTTGAGGCTTGCTAATAATCTAAATGAAGAGACCTAATCAGAACACTCAAGGTATGTTTTGCCTGTCTTTTAGTCTTCAGTATGAAGGACTTTTAATTCTATGATGAAAAGTTAATATATGAGCTAAAGATGCAACTAGCCCATATTGTATTCGTGTTTCCTTTTATTTCCAAAATAAAATGGAAGTCTTTTTTTTAATATCTTCATCCCTATTTATAGCTTATATATTATTTGTCCTTCTTATCCAAGATATAGATGTCATTAGGAGTTAGATTTGTTGGATTATTAGAAGGCCTTTTCACAAACTGAGCCTCTTTTTAATTATTTCAGTGGGACAGGAACTAGGATAGACTTGATTCCTGCGTTTCGTACGTTAAATCTGCCTTTGTAAGGGTGGATCATCTTGGAATATCTGCTTAAAATAATAATTGCTAGTGATTTCATTTCTAAGGTACTGGGAAAATGTTATTATGTAAGCATCGAATTCTGTAATTAGTCAACCAAGTGGCTGCTAGTGTATGTGAGACATGAAAACCATTTTAAAGCCGACTTTGTTACCTTATCTTGAAAAAAAATATCTAGGTTAACTTATTTAGAATAACACAGGTAAGTAGTGTGAATAATAATATCAAGATTCCAAAGTTGGCATATTCATTTAGTATAAGTGGGAACACTAGAAGTAAATGAAAGAGGATAAGTATAGGCCATTTTCCACTCACTTTCCTTTCTGATCAAGGCAAGAGCAGAACACTAAGGGAAGGAGAAGTGATGTCATAAAAGGACGGCCTCTAATTTTATATTGTGTCTTTTGTTTTGCTACGTAGGGGATTGTTTATTCAGAAACAGGTAGAAAAGTGGTGTTCGAGGGATTTTATTTTAATGTTTTTTAATAAAATGGACTGTGGTACAATCAAAATCTTCCTGTTACCAAAGCAATATTTCCCTGGAATTTAATTCAAAGTTCGTGATACACAACTGGAGCCTTTACTTATTTAAGACAATAATAAGTTCATATCCTGGTGTGTGGCCATATTTACAGAATGCTGAGCCCAGTTTGTAAGTTGTACTGTATACAGTTTTGCAAAGAAGTGAAAGTAATTTGTTGTACTTTTTATTCAATTCTGTATAGATTATAAAATTATTTTTATTAAATAAATATTTTACATTATATTTTTCCTTTTAATCACAATTTTAAATTTTTTTGCTTCAGTAGGAGCTTTGGGTTACATATTTAAACCTTTTAATAATTTCTCGTAGGACAAATTTCATATAAGTCTTCCTTCACCTGACCTTCCTGTTTAACCTTGTCATCCTGTGAATTCTTCTCATTGCTTTGTGATCCTTACCTTTGACTTTTCCCCTTTATTTCTGTCGTTTTCCCTGTTATTTTTAGCACTACACGGCACTGTTTATTTTTCTTGGTCTTCATCTTGGTACCTCTCATCTCTCTTTTTAAAGCATTCTTCCTTTTAGAAACCAAAAAAGACCCACATTCCCTTTAATGTTAACTGAATTTTACAAATAAAGGAAACTCAATCAAATCAAGGGCTCAAGGTACCATCTTGATTTGAAACTTCATAGCATCTTTGTTCTAGCCCAAAATATTCTAATATCCAAGGAGGCATCTTCTTGCCATCAGCTGAGAATCACTTGTTCATTATGTCCCAGAAACCAAATCACTCGTTTCTCACAGTATGCAAATGAGTACCTTCCCTTTAATATCCCATTCTAAAACCTGTTTCATTATCACCAAAGACTCATTTTTCATGCCAAAAATTCTTTTAAAGTTTTCTGTCCCTATAGTTATATCCCCTGTATCTTAATGCCTTTCAGATTGTAAGCCTTCTGAGCAGGGACCATGTCTTATTTTTGTCTTTTGTTGTAAAACACATCCTAGTGCCGTATGAATATTAAATTCCATAAAGGATATGTAACAGATTCAGTACCTTCCAGTATAAATAGCTAAATGTCATTACTTTTTTAAAAAATTATTTATTTATTTGACAGAGAGAGAGAGTGCCAACACAAGCAAGGTGAGCTGTAGGCAGAGGGAGAGGGAGAAGCAGGCTCCCTGCCTACCAGGGACCCAGTGCGAGCCCAAACCCAGGGTCCCTGGGATCATGACCTGAACTGAAGGCAGACCCCCAACTGACTGAGCCATGCAGGCACTCTGTCATTACTTTTTTTTTTTTTAAGATTTTATTAATTTATTTGACAGAGCAAGAGAGCACAAGCAAGGAGAGCAACAGAAGGAGAGGGAGAAGCAGGCTCCCTGCTGAGCAGGGAGCCCAATGCGGGGCTCGATCCCAAGACCCTAGGATCATGACCTGAGCCGAAGGCAGATGCTTAACCATCTGAGCCACCCAGGTGCCCCCTGTCATTACTTTTTTAAAGATTTATTTATTTATTTATTTTAGAGAGATCGAGTGGGGGGTGGGGCAGAGAGAGAGGGAGACAAGCAGACTCCCCGCTGAGCAGGGAGCATGATTCAGGGCTTGATCCCGGGACCCTGAGATCACGACCTGAGCCAAAACCAAGAGTGTGGCCCTCAGCCAACTGCACCACCCAGGCACCGCTGCCGTTACTTTTTTTTAAAAGTACATCCACATGAAATGTTAAGATTAAAATGCCTATCGATGACCTCCATGCCATGGGACAGTTTATTCAAGGCTTTGTGCTCTAAATGATAGAGATTGGATACCTATTTGTTCTACTTATTATGACGTCCTCCTTGTAATTAATACCTTACCCTTGAGTAGTAACATGTTCTAGTTTGGAAAAGGCATTTGTGAACATCATCTCCTTTGATTCTGGAAAAGGATCTTGTAGTAGTACTAATTATTTTTTCAATAACTAACGCTGATAGGGTGGAAGAGAGTTCAAAATGCGAGGTTTGCCATTCGAAGCTCTGCTACGTGGGGAAGTCACTCTTGCACTTCAGCTTCCTCATCGCTTAGTGGAGGTAACACTGACCTGACAGGATTGTTGTGAAGAAATGAAAGAACGTAGGGGCGCCTGGGTGGCCCAGTCGGTTAAGCGTCTGCCTTCAGCTCAGGTCATGACCTCAGGGGCCTGGGATCGAGTCCTACGGATTCTCTGCTCCGTGGGGAGCCTGCTTCTCCCTCTGCCTGCCGCCCCCCCCCCTTGTGCTTTCTTTCTCTCTCTCATAAATAAATAAAATCTTTAAAAAAAAAAAGAAAAAGTCATAATTCCTGCTCTCAAGGAATTTAAAAATGGGTGATAAGTAGAAAGGATAACATAGATGCCCAACTGTATTACAAGATAGTGTCAGGTACCATTAACCATTTTCCAGTAGAATTAAAAAGTCTTGTCTCGAAGAGAACAAGGACATTGGGAAAATCCTAAGTGGCTCCCTGAAGGAGATGGCATTTGAGTTGGCTATGCAGGATCGTAGGATTTTAACAGAAATTTAGAAAGGGAAACTAGTGGAGAAAGAGGCATAAATAACATTATGAAGACCCAAATGTGTACCATCAGAGGAGAAGGGTAGTGACAAAGTTTGGAAAGACAGTTTGGAGTCATTTTTTCCTAATGTTTATTAATTGGAAGTGGGGGTAACAAGCTTATATTCAAGATATGTAATCTGGCAGCAGAGTATAGGATGAATTTTATGGGAACTTAACCACCTAAAATTTTAAGTCCAATGGCCATTTCAGTTGGCTAGGTGTAGGTGAGGAAGGCCTTTTTGACTTGTGGCCCTAGAAGAAAATTAACATTTTAAAATGTGTGTCCATATTTCAAAGGTGGTTTAAAAAGTGTAAATAACCACCCAAAGTCACGCATCTGTAAAGTGGAGAAGTCGCTTTGGGATTCTCAATCCCACCCTACATGGCAAATTGATGGGTCACTTCGCCCATGTACCCCCATCAAGTCTGCAGGAGTGAGACCTCAGTGACAAGAGGAGCAGGAATCGGGGCTCAGGAGAGGAAGAATGCCGGCAGGGCACCAGCAGCTGCCGGATGGATACAGTGAGGGGCCGTCCTAGACCGGCTGAGTGTAGGAGAGTGAGGAGCCCTGGGGACAAGTTGTGGGTGCAGGGCGAGGCAGAGCTGCCGAAAACCAGAAGCCCGATCTCCTGGCCTCCCTTAGGGCGCGGAGTCTCCGGATCGGAAGCTGACCCGGGGACCTTCAGTAGGAAGAGCGTGCAGCTACTAGGCTCCGCCCCGCCCCCAACCCGGCACCGCGCCTGCGCAGTGCAGCAGGCCCGTGCCCGGGCCGGCGGTTGTGCCTGCCCCACCCCCACCCCCGCCGTTCCCGCCGCTCCAGCGCCTGGGGACGGGAGTGGGGCTTTGGGAGACGGGGCGGTGTGCTGCAGGTGACCGTTTTTTTGAAACTGATGTTCCAAAACCACACGCAACCCCAGTGTGAGGGAAACCCTCGGTGAAGGTTATATGCTGTGAAGGGCGTCCACTGCTGTCTAGGACGTTTAAAAAACGTCTTAAAGCGCCTTTTTAACAATAAGGGGGCAATAGCTTTTTCCAAAGGAAAGTCTTACACTCCAGAAGAATCGCAGTTAAGAAAATGCAAACTCCCGCCCCAAATGCTGAAATGTTAGCCAAAACTAATGCTTAAAATTTTAAAACCCCTGGACATGCTCATGTTTGATATAGTTCCATTTTCTCCTACTCAGAATCCCTCCCCTCCTTTTTTAAATAGCAAACTGCGTGACTTGATCATTATTCCCTTCAGGATGCCAAAAATCCTGGAGGACCTACCTGCAGTGTTCCTGGAAGTGTTGACAAGAGTGGAGCTTGAACTCTAGATCAGTACTTACAGACAGCCCTGGGACAGAAACAGCTTCCTAGAAATTCTTGCCCCTGTCTTGTGCTTGACTGATAAAGAGGCCATGGGCCAGAGACTGTGTCCGTAGTGGGAAATTATCCAAGTCTGCTTAAAGATCCGTTCTGATCTCCAACTCTTGAAATTAAATCCCAGTTACAGTTTTTGGTCCTATCTTCCCCACCCTGAATTTTTCTCTTCATGTTAGTCTCCTTTCCTTAGGTATAAGCCATTTCATACCCAAAGTCATTCCTCCATATCCACTTCAAAAGATCTGGATATGCCTAATGGCAGAAAAGACTCCAGCCTAAACCAGGGATTCTAAGTGGGAGCTAAAGCAGTCCCAGATGAGTAGAAACCACTGGCTTATGGTAGAAGCAGTTTTTAAAAAATTATCTCTAGGGGGGCCTGGGTGGTTCAGTGGGTTAAGTGTCTGCCTTCCACTCAGGTCAGGGTCCCAGGGTCCTGAGATCCAGCCCCACATCCAGCTCCCTGCTTAGCAGGGAGTCTGCTTCTACCTCTCCCTCTGCCTCTCCCCCTACTTGCGCTCTCTCTCGCTCTGTCAAATAAATAAAATCTTTAAAAATAATAATAAAAAATTATCTCTAGAGAAAAGCATTCCCTGAGTCCAGGGGAGTGAGGCTGCACTATACATACACAGTGTGGAATGGAAAATCACAGACAAAAGGATACCTTAATTTTCAATAAGTAGTCTTCTAAGAAGTGACCTGAAATCCCAACTCACAAGGCACAATAAAATTTTACTAATTGAGTTTTCTTGTGGTTGGCAAATATTTTGGTTCCATGGTTATTTTAACATTATTTCATGGCTTTAAAAGCATTATGTGTTTGTGGTAGGAAATTTGAGAAATATAAATATGGTAATTCGCAGGCTCCTCAGGAGCTTCCCAGGTGTAATGTGAAACTGGCCTCCTTACTCCGAAAGCAGGCAGAGACTGAAGAAAGAGACCACACCAGATAGGTGGCAGGTTTAATAAGCAAAGGGAACTTACATACAAGGCTTATCTTGGGCTGCTGTAAGATGAGCAGATCCCTGCACCCACCCATGATATCTTGTACATTTACACAGAGGCCTTAGCTGGGTTCAGTCACGTTTACTATCCAGATCATCTCAATACCACATCACTGTTTCAAGGCTGTGTCCTTGGGCAGCTGCTGGGAGCGGGCAAGGCAAGCAGAATGCACATCCAAGGACAGGGGAGGGGGTGTGGAGCCTCCAGTTGCCAGGGTCCAGCTCACTGTTCAACCAGTAGTCATGTCCTCTCAATGACCTCCCTCAACAAAAAAAGCATAATAATTATTACTCTTAATATTTGTCAACTCCAATGCCATATGCATAATTTTTATCCTCTAGCGGAGCCAAAAAGCCACACTAGAGCATAAGCAGTTAATAGAACACTTGGTGACAGATCACTCTCAGATCAAATATATAAAATATTACAGTTGGAAATTAATAAAGTCTTGCAAATCAAATACATTACTTAAAAAAATCACCAAAGACATAAAGCAACCACGAGTGAGAGTCAGCAGAAACAACAAACAACAGATTAAGAGTCCTAATGATTTCAGATATTGGAATTATCAGATACAGAGTATAAAATTAATATGCATAAAATTTTAAATATAAAAGATGAAATCACAAAAAGAGCAAGTAACAAGAGTAACAAAAATGAAAAGACTGATTTGGGGCGCCTGGGTGGCTCAGATGGTTAAGTGTCTGCCTTCAGCTCAGGTCATGATCCCGGGGTCCTGGGATCGAGGCTTGCATCGGGCTCCCTGCTCCTCGGGGAGGCTGCTTCTCCCTCTGCCTCTTTCTCATGAATAAATAAATAAAATCTTTTTAAAAAATTTAAAACAAATGAAAAGACTGACTTGAAAAAGGACATAAAGATATATCTTAGAAATTAAAAATAGAAATGTTTAAGTTAAAATTCAATAAATAATGCCTCATTAATTGCTGGTGGGAGTGTAAATTGGTACAACCCCCCTTGAATAGCATGTTTTGGCATTGTCCTTTAAAGTCAAAGATATGCACGCACTATGACCCAGCGGTTCCACTCCTGGGTATATACTGTAGAGCTACATTTTCCAATTTGGCAACTGCTAGACATGTGACTATTGAGCATTAGACATGTAACTATACAGGAATGAAAATGGAATAAACCAGAGCCACAGGCAACAATTTCAATGAATCTTATGAACATAATTTTGAGTAAAGGAACTAAGACACACAAGAATATATCAATACAATCCTATTTGTTCAAAAGCAGACAAACAATATTATTTAAATCTATATACATAAGTAATAAAAATATAAAAGAAAAATGATAACTATAAAAGTCAAGTATTTACTTCCAAGGAATGGAAGAGAGGTATGATTTCTTCAAAACTATTACAATCAAAGGACCTTCACATTACTTAAAGAGGGTAAATGAGTGACATTCTTTGGAGTAATGGAGACAAAAAAAAAAAATCCATTCCTCCTGTGTTACCTATATTGTACTCCAATAGTGTTGAAATACAGATTTCATTTTTTCCTGATGAAAAACATTATAAAGTGAAAAAAACACGTCTAAGAGGTTATGCTTTTGTCTGACTACTGCAAAAATGGCTACTTTATAATGACAGTAATGAAAAGACATTGTGAAAATGGAAAAAGTCAGCTGTGGGTTTGAAACTGTTTCAAGAATGCATCTATTGGATCCTGAAGAAGAGAGAGATGCCAAAAGCAACAACTTGGGTAAGGCTATGGAGAATCCACGTGTGTCATACAGATGGAGAAATCTGGTGTCACTTCGGAAAAGCAGCACACCACTGCCAGGTTAATTTCAAAATTAACTGGAGGTTAATTTCAAAATTCATTTAACCGGGATTCATCAGCTATGTAGGTATTTTAGTCTCTTGCTCCTATTGTGGCAATCATGATTCTAGGAAGGCATTTTCTCAGTGATGCCCACTTGGAGAAAGGGGCATTCACTTTATGCTTCTAGATTACTGCCAAAAAAGGCAAGGAGCGGGGATTGCCTGCCCAGAACAAAAGGTGAGAACCAGGGGGATGAGGGAGAGTAAAAATAGAGTGAGTTTGGGAACAGTGTCTGTAAGGTTCAAGGCTCTGCTCCATGCTTGCAGTCATAGAGCTCTTTGCTTATAATGTTGACGCAGAGTAAGCAACAAAAATATGGGCTTCCTGTGAACGTGACAGATTCTATGTCCCCCATGTTCTTCTAGGAGAGGCCGAATGATCACGTATCTGTATGTTATACTAGGAAAGAGTTGTATAAAAATCCAGCAGTTTATAAAAAGTCATTTAGAGATCTCTGGAAATAAACAGAAGTTTCATGTGCATCAAGTCACAGTTAAATTGTAGCATTCATACACCACCATATTTTACAGGTTCAAATCAATATTAACAAGATTATGGCTGTCTAGTTATTTCAGAAAAGTCTTAAGAATTCTGATGGAAATAATTGCTAATTCTATTTTACTATGTTTACTAAAGAGGATTGGTTGTGGGATAGAGTAGTCATCTACTGTAAAGGATGCGTGTTTTGCTAAGTCATGTTCCTTAGTATCTCATAGCATTTCATTTCTTAAACTCCTCCATTCTTTCTCAAGTTTATTTTGCTTCACATGATTACATAGTCTTCAAAAAATGAAAATTATAAACCCATCTAGACTACAGCCAAGAATAACTGCATTGGTTTATAACTTAGTGACCAGAAATTTGCCACAATTCTTGGCACTTCTGTTTCTATAGTACTTTAGACTTCGACAGGTAATTTTATTTTCTCTCCCTCAAGGTCTTTCAGATTTAAGTGGTAGAGAAAAAGGAAAATAATTCTCAATTCAATGTGATTATAGCTTTTATTATACTTGAAAATATTTTTTGTTGTTCAGAATTAAAATATTAACCCAAATTAAATGTATTCTTAACTCTCCTTTAGTCAAATTCCAGCAGTGTCTGCAGCCAACCAAAGGCAGAGAACACTTGATGGAGGAAGTTGGAATGGAAGGAGACACTGGGTTATTGTCATTAAATATTCTATTTTTGGAAATTTTATGAAACCATATTTTCACATAAACACATTATTGGGGCCCCTCTGTGGGCCCTAGAAGGAGCCTGTGCAGGTGAGAAGCCCTGAAATGTGAGCTTCATTTAGCTTCATGATAAATCTTTTTTTGCTTGAACCTCTCTGTCCCATTTCTCCCTTTCCTGTAGAGCAAAACTCTTTGAAATCATGCCTGTTGTCTCTTCTTTCTCTCATTTTGTTTAGGATCCACCATTCCATCAAACTGCTGTTAAAACAGTGGTTCTCAGTCCTCATTGTATTTGACCTGTCAACAGCACGTGACACAGTGGACATGACCTTCCCCTGGTTTCTGGGATGCAACTGCCTCTGGATTCTCTCTCTATATCTCACTAGTCACTTCTGGGTCTTGTTTGCTGGTTCTTCCTCTTCTTCCTGACAGCTAAATGTTGGACCACCCTCAGGCTTACTTCTCTGATCTTCTTTTTCCCTCCTCATCTACATTCCCTTCCTGTGTGTCTTCATCCAGTCCCACGGCTTTATTTTTTTTTTTAAGATTGTATTTATTTTATTTATTTATTTATTTATTTGAGAGAGAGAGAGAATACGAGCAGGGAGAGGGGCAGCGGGAGAGGGAGAAGCAGACTCCCTGCTGAGCAGGGAGCCTGACACACGGGGCTCAACCCCAAGACACCGGGATCATGACCTGAGCCGAAGGCAGACACTTAACCGACTGAGCCACCCAGGCGCCCTAAGTCCCATGGCTTTATAAACCATGTATACACTGATCACTCTCAAATTTATATTCTTCAACATACGATGGGGTCACATCCCAATAAACTGATCATTAAGTTGAAAGTATAACTCGAAAATGCATTTAATACACTTAACCCACTGAACATCATCGCTTAATCTAGCCTACCGTAAGCATGCTCAGAACACTTACATTAGCCCGCTGTTGGGCACAGTCATCTAACACAAAGCCTGTTTTATAATAAAGTGTCAACTAGCTCATGTGATTTATTGAATGCCAACTGAAAGTGAGAAACAGAACGGTTGTGTGGGTGTGGAGTGGCTATCAGTTTGTTGGTGGTTTACCGTAGTGATTGCCCAGCCGACCGGGTGCCGCATCACTGCCCCTGGCCAGTATCACAAGAGAGGAGAATCGCACTAGTTACCACTAGCCTGGGAGTTCCCTTTTTTTCTCCACCAACAGAAATGCACCAATACAAAGTCTCAAAATAGGCCACCTTTTAAAACAAAGTCAATGATTTACAAGAAATCATTAATATAACATGTAATTAGCTGATGCAAATCTAATAGAGGTATAATAATAATACATCCGAAGTGTTCTTGAACAAAATATGCAAAGAAAAGATTATCAATGTCTGAAAAAGCCTTCTTCATAGATAATCTGACGAATTATCATACAGTATTTAAAAATTTCCTTTATTATTTTTTTTTACTTGTTAACAATGTTATTATGTTATGGTAATCACCATACATTATATCATTAGTTTTTGATGTAGTGTTCCATGATTCATTGTTTGCATATAACACCCAGTGCTCATTGCAATACATGCCCTCTTTAATACCCATCACCAGGCTAACCCATCCCCCCACCCCCCTCCCCTCTAGAACCCTCAGTTTGTTTCTCAGAGTCCATAGTTTCTCATGGTTCGTCTCCCCCTCCAATTTACCCCCCTTCATTCTTCCCTTCCTGCTATCTTCTTCTTCTTCTTTTTTTTTTAACATACAATGTATTATTTGTTTCAGAGGTATAGGTCTGTGATTCATCAGTCTTACACAAGTCACAGCGCTCACCATAGCACATACCCTCCCCAATGTCCCTCACCCAGCCACCCCATCCCTCCCACCCCCCACCACTTCAGCAACCCTCAGTTTGTTTCCTGAGATTAAGAATTCCTCATATCAGTGAGATCATATGATACATGTCTTTCTCTTAAAATTTGATTACTATTGGGCGCCTGGGTGGCTCAGTTGGTTAAGCGACTGCCTTCGGCTCAGGTCATCATCCTGGAGTCCCGGGATTGAGTCCCACATCAGGCTCCCTGCCCAGCAGGGAGTCTGCTTCTCCCTCTGACCCTCTTCCCTCTCATGCTCTCTGTCTCTCATTCTCTCTTGCAAATAAATAAAATCTTAAAAAAAAAATTAAAAAAAAATTGATTACTGTTAAGAGGAGGATTTAAATCTTTTGATAAAGTAGTGATTGTTGGATGATAACAAAAAATTGAGAACCATTCCTTCAGGTGACCTAGCAATGTTGGGAACAGTGAGATGGTCAACAGACCACTAAAGGGTGGTATTGAAGGTTCTTTACAGCCTTGCCCTACCCGATTTTCCAGCTTTGCTTCCCTATACCATCCCACACTATTCCAGAACACATCTGCACTGTTGACATTCTCTAACAGCCTCTGCTTCTATATATTTGCACAGTTCCTGTGCCTAGAATACTCTCACCCCCATTTCTACCTCTGATATTCAACTTACTCATCAAGATTAGTTCAAGTGCCACTTTTTATAGGCAGCCTTCCCTACTGTTTTTACACAACCGCATATACACTCAGGTATGTATGGTGGTCATTTGTATGTATATATACACTTTAATCTCTTTGAGGCAGGAACATGTTTTGTCCATTGTTTGTCTCTTAGTACCTAACACAATACCCTATAGAAGTTTACTGAATTGATTGTTTAAAATGGAGGTTTCTAAGTTTTTTCTAAGGTTTATTCTTTAGTGATAAGAACTCATGGAACAAATATCTTTGGGAGATATGGTTTAGATTGCATGTATTCAAAGCTACTGACTAAAGAAAATTCTGGCTTTATTACTGATAAACCTGTGATGTATAGGAATAAAATATATACTGGTGAAGCTCTTAATATATGTCAACCCATCACTGCTGGTTTGATTTCATAGTCTGCCAAATTGTCTGCTTTGTACAAATATCAACACTTTAGAAAAGAACCCTGTGTCAGGTTGTAACAGGTATCCCTGTAAGAAGGGCAATGGAGACTGCCTCTAGAGGTAGGAGTTGCTGGAGTTCAATTCTCCCTTGGAAATTTCCTCCTTAGGTCAGAGGTAATGATGATTTACAAACCATCTGAAGGCTGAGCTTGTGGGTGGATTAATGAAGAAAAACAAAGGAAAAGCTTAGAACCAAAAGTGAGATTACATAGCCCCAGACTGGGAAAAAATATTTACAAATCATATATTTGATAAAAGACTTATACCTAGAATACATAAAGAATCCTTACAACTCAATAATAAAACAAGTAACCCAATTTAAAAATGGGCCAAATACTTGAATAAACATGTCACCAAAGACATACTAATGGTGAATAGATATATGAAAAGTGCCTAATATCATTAGTCATTAGGGAAATGAAAATTAATGCCAAATGAGATACCACTATGCACCCTTGAGGAAGTTATAATTTTAAAAAGCAGAAAATACCAAGTACTGTCAAGGATGTAGATAAACTGGAATTCTCATATGTTACTGAAACCTGCCTGGGATTCTCTCTCTCTTTTTCCCTTTTCCCTTCCTGCTCAGGCTTGCAAGGCTTACATGCTCTCTCTCCCTCTAAAAAAAAAAAGGGAACAAAATACTGATGCATCCTACACAATGGATGAATTTCAATAACATATACTGAGAGAAATGTAACATAGAACAGCCACTTTTGAAAACACATTGGTAGTTTCTTAAAAATTACATACAACGCAACAATTCCACTTAGAAATCTAACCGAGAAAAATGAAAAGTGTCCACACAAAGACTTGAACAAATATTTTCATAGCAACATTATGACAGTTAAAAGTAGAACCAACACAAATGTTCATCAACTGGGAAGTGGATAAAAAAAATCTGGTATTATCTATACAATGAATACTATTCTGTGATAAAAAGGAACAAAATAGGGGCACCTGGGTGGCTCAGTCCATTAAGCATCCAACTCTTGATTTTGGCTCAGGTCATGATCTCAGGGTGGTGAGATCAAGCCCCACTTTGAGCTCTGTGCTGGGCGTGGAACCTGCCTAGGATTCTCTCTCTCCCTTTCCCTTTTCCCTTTCTGCTCAGGCTCACAAGGCTCACATGCTCTCTCTCCCTCTAAAAAAAAAAAAAAAGGAACAAAATACTGATGCATCCTACACAATGGATTAACTTCAATAACATTATGTTAAGTGATAGGGGCCAGATACAGAAGACTACATATTGTCAGTAGAATGTTCGTTGTCAGGGGCTGGAGAGGAGGGAAAATAAGGAGTTAATGTTTAATGAATATGAAGTTTCAGTGTGGGAAGATGGAAAATTTCTGTAGATAGAGGGGGAAAGTACCCACTGTGAAATATGACTACAGTCTTTTCCAAAACAAAGGCCTACTCTTCAGGAAAAAAGACAATAACAGAGCCTTATCTTATGGGGGATGTGCATTTCCTCAATTCCAGCTCCCTCTAGGCTTTCTTTCTCACCTAAATGCAATGAAGGAGGAGGCTAACAAACACGTGTCAGGTCACAGATCAGGGACAGAGGCCTACTAAAAGATTGAGATTTAATCATAAGATTATACAATGACTCTCTTCTTCCATACCTTACCACCATACCAATAGGTCTCTAGTATAATAACATTGAATTACAACTGAAGGAGTGGCAAGACACAGAGTCTCTCTGAAAAGGAGTTCCTATGGAAGCCCAAAGTCTAGAGACAGAAAAAGAAGAACACTAGAGGAATTTGAACCCTATGGCACCTGCAGCTACAGAAAACATTCAACACGGCCCATCTTCTGGCCAGATTAATATAAGTCTCACACTAAAGTCCTATTTACCTCATGATACATCATATCCAACTTTCAACAACAACAAGAAAGTTTATCAGTCATGCTAAAAGGCAAGAAAAAAGACACTCTAAAGAGACAAAGCATCACAACCAGAGTCAGGTCAACACAAATATTAGATGATCAGAATGGGAATTTAACTATGGTCAATATGTTTAAGGGCTCTTGTGGAAAGTTTAAGAAAACATGCGTGAACAGAGATATGGAAACTCTAAGAAATAATCAAAAGGAAATGCTAGAGATCAAAGGTACTGTAACAGAAATGAAGACTGCCTTTGGCGGGATCATCAGTACACTTGACATGGCAGAAGAAAAAACAAGTAATCTTGAATATCAGTCAATGGAAACTTCCAAAAATGAAGTGCAAAAAGAAAAAAGAATTTAAAAAAGAATAGGACATCCAAGAACTGTGAGACAAAAGGTGTAACGTACATATAATTGGGATACCAAAAGGAAAAGAAGGAGATAATGGAGCAGAAGAAATATTTAAAGTAATAATGTCCCAAGAACTTTCCAAAATTAATGACTGACAGTAAACCACAAATCCAGAATGCCCAGAAAATATCAAGCAGGATAAATATATTAAAAAAAAAACTCTACTTAGCATGTCATGTTGAAACTCCAGAAAACCAAAAACAACCTTGAAAATCTTGAAAGAAGCCAGAGATGGGAAAAACTTACCTGTAGAGGAACAAGGAGAAGAATTACAGCAGACTCTTATCAGAAACCATGCAAAGAAAAGGAGAATGGAGTGAAATGTTTAAAGTGTTGAAAAAAAAAACCCACTGACCTAGAATTCTATATTCAGCAAAATTATCCTTCACTCGTGACTTTCTCAGAAAAAGAAAACCTGAGAGAATTCACTGCAAGCAAGAAATGTTATATTGTTCTGCCCTGCAAGAAATGTTAAAAGAAGTTTTTCAGGGAGAAGGGAAATGATACAGTTCAGAAACTTGGATCTACATAAGGGAAGAATGTCAGAGAAGGAATAAATGAATTAAAATAAAATCTTTTGTTCTCATTCTTAATTTATTAAAAACTAAACTTTAGACTGCATAAAGTAATAATAGAAACAATATATTGGGTGATTATAGCATATGTTTAAGTGAAATTAATGAAAGTGATGTCGGAAGGGTCAGGAGGAAAGAACCAGGAATACTCTATTACAAGGTACTTGCACTACATGAAATTAGCTTTAGATTTAGTTAAAAATATACATTGTAAACTCTAGGGCAACCACTAATATTTTTTATTAAAGAAATATGATGATTGCTATCCTAAGAGAAGAGATAAAATAGGTAATATAAAATTATCAGTTAAAATCAGAGAAGGCAGAAAAAGAGGGAGAAGAAAGTAATGAAGAATAAATGCAATGGATTGAAAACAGTTAAAAACATGGTAGATACTAATATAGTTATATCAATAATCACTTTAAATATAAGTGGTCTAAATACAACAATTGAAGTACAGAGATTGTCAGAGTGACTAAAAACAAGACCCAACTATATATCATTTATAAGAAACCACTTTAAATATAAAAACACATATAGAGGGTACCTGGGTGGCTCAGTTTCTTAAGTGTCTACCTTAGGCTCAGGTCATGATCTCAGGGACCTGGGATCAAACTCCATGTTGGGTTCCCTGCTCAGTGGAGAGTCTGCTTCTCCCTCTCCTTTTGCCCCTCCCCCCAACTTGTGCTCTCTCTTTCATATAAATAAATAAAAATTTTTTAAAAAACACATAGATTAGGGGCACCTGGGTGGCTCAAACAGTTGAGCACTGGACTCTTGATTTTGGTTTAGGTCATGATCTCAGGGTCATAAGATGGGGCCCATGTCAGGCTTCATGCTCCAAGGGGAGTCTGCTTTTCACTCACTCTCTCTCTCCCTCTGCCCCCTCATGCTGTCTCTCTAAAATAAATAAATAAATCTTTAAAAAAACCACATATAGATTAAAAGCAAAGGTTAGAGAAAGATATGTTAATACTCATTAAAAGAAAGCTGAAATAGCAATATGATTTTAAAGAAGAATCAGAATAAGGACAATTATCAGAGATGAAGAGGGCATTACAATGATAAGGGGGGTCCATTTTCCAAGAAGACATAACAGTTCTTAGTATGTATGCACTTAACACAGAGCATCAAAATATGTAAGATGAAAACTGAGAACTAAAAGGAGAAACAGAAAAATCCACTACTATAGTTAAAGACTTCAGTATACTCTTTTAGTAGTTAATAGATCAAAACGGCAGAAAATCAGTAAGGATACAATCAACCTGAAAAACATTATTAATTAATTTAATCTAATTGACATTTATAGACTGCTCCATCCAGTAACAGCAGAATACACATTCTTTTCAAACTTGAATAATCACCAAAATAGGCCACATTCTGGATTATAAAACACACCTTTACAAATTTGAAAGTATAGAAATCATACAAATTATATTTTCAGACTATAGTACAATTAAACTAGAAATAAATAACTGAAAGATAACTATAAAACCTCCAAATATTTGGAGATTGAACACCACACTTCTCAATAACATGTGTCAAAAAAGAAATCTCAAGAGAAATGTGAAAATATTTTGAAATAAATGAAAATACAGCTTATCAAAATTCACAGGATGAGCAAAAGCTGTTTAGAGGGAAGTTTATAACATTAAGTACATGTATTAGAAAAGATCTAAAATCAATAATCTAAGCTTCCACTTTAGGAACTAAAGAAGGGTAATTTAAACCTCAAGCAAGCAGAAGAAAAGAAATAATAAACATTAGAACAGAAATAAATGAAATGGAAACAAGAAATAAATAGAGAAAATCAATGAAATCTAAACGTATTTCTTTAAAGACATCAATAAAATCAATAACCCCCTAGCCAGGCTAACTATGAAAAAAAGAGAACAGATATAAATGACCAGTATGAACAATGAAAGAGGGATCATTACTACTGATCCTATGGACACTTAACAATAATAAAAAAGTAATATGAAAAGCTCTGGGCCTACAAATTTGATAACTTAGATGGACTGGACCAATAACTGAAAAACACAATCTGAATGGTCCATAACTATTCAAGAAATTGAACCACTAATCAACTGTCCAAAAAAGAAAGCACTAGGACTGGATGGTTTCAGTGGTAAATTCTACCAAATATTTAAGTTGGAAGTGATACCAATTCTCTACAATCTCTTCTGGAAAACAGAAGCAGAGGAAACACTTCCTAATTCGTTTTATGAGTTCAACATTACCATAATGCCCCAAACAAATGAAGACAAAAAAAGAAAGAAAACTACATAGCAAGATCTCTCACGAACGTGGATGCAAAAATCCTCAACAAAATATTAGTGAACTGAATTTAACAATGTATAAAAAGAATTATACATCACAACTAAGTGAGATTTATTCAGATGTTTGCAAAGTGGCTCAATATTTAAAAATCAATCAATAGAATATATGCAAATATCAAATCATGTTATACAAGTGAAATTAATATCATTTATGTCAACTTAATAAAAAAATAAAATGAAATCTCTGACTTGGTAAAAAAAATCAATGTAATCCATCCCATCAGTAGTCTAAAGAAAAATAATGTGATCATATCAATTGATGCCAAAGAAGCATACAACACAATTCAGTAGCTATTTATGATAAAAACTCTCGTAAACTTAGAGGAGAATGTTCCCAACTTGATAAAGAACATTTACAAAAAACCTATCCCTAATATCATACTTAATGGTGACAAATTAGGCATTTTCCTCCTAAGATCAAGACCAAGGAAGGCATGAATGATGGGGAGGAGTCAGCAATGCAAATATCTGGGGAGGAACATTCCAGATAGAGGCACTAGCAAAGATGGGAAAGAGCTTGACATGCTTGAGGAATTAGAGTACTTTGAGCATCATGCGTTAGCAAGATAGTGGCAGGAGGTGAGATTACAGGAATAAAAAGAGGCCCAATAATGCAGAATCTTGAAATTAAGGTAGGAGGTTTGGATTTTATTATAATAGCATTGGAAAATTAGAGAGGGGTATGGTGTGACTTAAATTTTTAAGCGTGTTTTTGGTTGCTGACAGGAACTGTGGCAATCTGTGTTCTTGGGAGGTGTTCACTCTGCATCTGGATTCAGAAGATAAGTCCATTATCAGCTAATGCTAAATGTACTCTCGCATATCCAGCTTTTGTAATGAGCTTTAACAAAATTGCCAACCCCAGAGAAGAAAGGTATGTAGCCACCACTGCTTTTGGATTGGCATTATAAGGCAGAAGGCATTCACCAGGCATAGGTGAAGAGAACAAAGTTGGAAAAGTTCAAAGCCCATTTTTTAAAGTCTGTGGTTTTGAATGTAGTTTTTCTACATTCGTATTCTCAAGAAAATATGAACAGACCCAAGGAATCTATGTCTTTGCTGTAAAAATGCTATTGAAAGCCAGGTCTCTCTCATCACTTACTTCCTACTTAAAACCCTACCTGAGAAATTATTTTAAAAATTAATGCCAGGACAACATGTTTTTCCTGAGGAACACGTGTGATTTTTTTTCTTTCTGATAAGAGCTAGATAAAATATATTTTATTTCCTTTTTTACACTGGCTGCTTAAAATTTAAACTCAGCTACAGAAACTGACTCTTAGCGTTAGCACATTGGCATTCGTATCTCCATCCACCACCCATTATGTTTAGGACGTTACTGAAAGCAGCTTCAAACCTGGTGGGGGTGACGACATTCACAGTGAAGAATATAAGTGAATACAGAGGACTATGGAGACTTAACTCAAAAGCATTTTTATGACAACCAAGTGAATGGAAGTGCATTTCCTCACATATATGAGTCAGTGGTTCTTTGCTCTCACACAGCACAGAAGCAGAAAACAGGCTCATTGTTACTGCTACTCATCAACACTATGTGTATACCTTAATTAGACCCTTTGCAGTTTAGCTTCCTTATTTTTATTATTTTTTTTTGCTTTTCATGTTAAATATGTATGTCTGGAAGTCAAGGAAGTGAAACTTCTATAATACTGCGCTGAAAAGAGCAAGACTTATAGCCGACTTAGAGAACGGCACTTATGTTCAAACATAGGTGGGTACACAGTTTCAAAGAGTAATCATTTATTAGGCAATGAAACACCACTTACAAACAGAGGGTTTTCCTGTTAGTGATTTAAAAAAGTAAATTCTATTTGTTGCTTTTATCAAAAGCCAACCTCTGATTCATTTTCTTTTCCATGATGATTTATTGCTGTCAAATCCTTTCTCCAGTTCAGGGTTGATGACAGGATTCCAAATCACATACTGAGTAAGCTGGAGCCTCAGCAGGAGATCCCTTGAAACTTTTGCCTTATGGGGGTTGGGCATACATCAAAAGTGCTGAACACATGAAAGTGCTGAACAAATCTGCTGAACAAATAACAATGATAGTGTAAATACTTTTTTTTTTTTAAATTAGAGTGTTTTAAGGAATGTATTGCTGGCATACAAGCGAAAAGTGGGTTTGTCCTGCTGCTAAAGGTCACAAGCAAACTCAGGCCCTCCAGTTTTGAATGTGACACACTCATAATAGTAAATTACAGAAAGTCTTGATTTTGGGGGAAAGTTGTTATATGTTCATTATAACTATATCTAGATAAGAGATATATCTGATATGTAATTACATGTATGTAATGTATATGATATGATATATATGTCAAATCTGTATATAATTCTAATAAAAGTCTCAAATGTCACCTCAGGAAGGCTTAATTACTTTATGTAAAATTTCAACCCCGCTTTCAGAACCCACCCCCACATTTCTGATCCCTTCTTGCTTGTTCTATGTTTGTGTATCATTTATCACTTTCTAATACACAATAGGAATTACTTACTTAGTATGTTTCTTATTGTCTTCTCTCTACTGGAAGGTGAGCTCCATGAAGACAGTGAATCTCTAAAGAAAATATTCCCTACATTATCAAATAGTTTTTAACTTAAAAAAGATCTAGATGTTAATGTATCGATTTCAAATACATGTATGTTAAACATTATAATTATAAGCTGTTCTGCAAATGAGTAACATTAAAGATGGAATGTAAAGGTAAAGAATTCAGAAAAATATCCCACTTACATATCTCTCCTCTTTCCCTTCCTTTCAACTGACCACATTCTAATTTCTGGGCTGGGAACTCAGAGATCTGAGCTTAGAATGAAGTAAGCCAAAGAACTGGGAGAGATTCTCCTACAAACCACTCACACTGAGCTCACAAACTTTATAGTAGCTTTATATTTTTGCTTTCAAGCTTTTTGCACTTCCTTTTCTCTTTTTTTTGGAACTGGGTTCTAGATGGCTGAGGTAATTGAAACTCTGATTTCCAGGGAATGTAATAGTTCATTGATATATTCCAAGTATCTAGAACAGTGTCTGGCACATAGGTGCTCAATAATTTTTGTTGAATTATATTATGACTACACAGAATCTGAATATTGTCTGTGAAGTATATTACCTGGAACAGTTTTATAGGTGACATGTATGGTCATGTCTTCTTAATTCTTGACCCTTATTTAATCTCTTCTCTTTGGCTAATTAAGTTAAATATCGGCTTGTCAAAGCCTTCCTTCAAAATGTTCATTTATTTAAAGAGAGTTGCTCAATTTAATGCTACTCTCTTGCCCATGGTGTGTGCTTACTTACTTCTATGCATTGCATAATGACGAATCACAGAAAACTGGAGGAGTGCTATCCATTTCTGGGATCTTTTTTTCAGAATGCACATTTAAAATGTAAAGTTATAACTGTAGCAAATTAAAAATGGAAAGGGAAAACACATGGCACCCATCACATATACAGTGATCTTTTATTTGTAGAATCCCATAGTCTTTAATGAGTCATAAATTCCTAACACATTTCTACTGCCTATAACTAAAATACAGTTTTCATTGATATTTAACATTTTCAGACTTTAAGAAGCATAAAGCACATTTAAATGAAAGGCCCTGGATAGCAGTCAACTTCTTTTCTTTACCTGGCTCTTCCTAAATCATCCTGTTCCTACATTTCCTTAATTCTTCTCTCTTGTTCGGTCATCAAAAGCCTGAGGGCACTTACATCAGAGGGGAGAAGGAAGAGGATTTTATGTATTTATCCAGCTGTATTGAGATATAATTGACAAAAATTGTACATATTTGGGTTGCATGACATGATTTTTAAGGTGTATAATGTGATGATTTTATATATATATATATAGAGAGAGAGAGAGAGAGAGAAATGATTACCTCAATCAAGTTAAACACATCCATCACCTCATATAGTTAGTTACCTTTTTTTGGTGACAATACCTAAAATCTACTCTCTTAGCAAATTTCAAGTATACAATACAGTGTTATTAAGCTACAGTTATCATGTCATACAGATCCCAAGAACTTATTCATCTTATAACTGAAAGTTTGTGCCCTTTGACCAATATCCCGCATTTCCCGCTCACCCTCCAGCCACTGGCAACCACTGTTCTACTTTCTGGTTCCATGAGTTCAACCTTGTTAGATTCCACATATGAGATCATACAGAATTTTCTTTCTATGTCTGGCTTATTTCATTCAGCATATCTTCCAGGTTCATCCATGTTGTCATAAATGGCATAATTTCTTTCTTTTTGTGGTTGAATAATATTCCATCATATATATGTGATATATCTATATCTATATATATCAATTTTCCTTATTCATTTACCCATTGATGAACTCTTATATTGTTTCTGTGTCTTGGATATTATGAATAATGCTGTAGTGAACATAGGAGTGCAGATATCTTTTTGAGATATTGATTTCATTTCCTTTGGGTATATTCCTATACATGGTTTTGCTTGGTTATATGGTAGTTCTATTTTTAATTTTTTGAGGAGCCTCCATACTGTTTTCCATAGTGGCTGCACCAGTTTTCATTTCCACCAACAGTGTACAAGGATTTCTTTTTCTCCACATCTTCACCAACACTTATAACATCTTGCCTTTTTGATAATAACCATTCTAAGAGATGTGAGGTTTTGCACTGATCATTAGTGATGTTGAGTACCGTTTCATATACCTATTGACCACTGTATGTCTTTGGAATAATGTCTATTTACTTTGCCTATTTTTAAATTGGATTATTTATTATTATTTTTGCTATTGAGTTGTATGACTTCCTTTTATATTTTGGGTATTAACCTCTTATCAGATATGTAGTTTGCAGATATTTTCTTCCATTCCACAGGTTGCCTTTTCATTTTGTTGATGGTTTCCTTTGCTGTGCAGAAGTTTTTAGTTTAATTTTTTTTTAGTTTAACTTTTTAATTTCTGCTTGCATTGCCTATGCTTTTGGTGTTATACTCAAAAAATCATTGCCAAGACCAATCTCAAAGAGCTTATCCACTATGTTTTCTTCCAGGAATTTTACAGTTGTAGGTCTTACATTTAAGTTTTCAATCCACTTCAAGTTAATTTTTGTATATGATGTGAGATGAGGGTCCAATTTTATTCTTTTGTATTGTAGATATCCAGTTTACCTAAAGCCTTTTATTGAAGAGATAATCCTTTCCCCATTGTGTATTCTTGGCCTCACGGTCAAAGATTGGTTGACCATGTAGCATGGATTTATATCTGGGCTCTCCATTCTGTTCCATCGATGTGTGTGTCTGTTTTTGTGCCAGCACCATACTGTTTCAATTACAATAGCTTTTCTAATTATTAAATTTACTTAGCCAACTTGTAGTACATCATTAGTTTCAGATGTAGTGTTCAATAATTTATCAGTTCCATATAACACCCAGTGCTCATCACATCATGTGCCCTCCTTATTGCCCACCACCCAAATACCCCTTCCCCCCACCTACCTCCCCTCCAGCAACGCTGTTTATTTCCTATACTGAAGAGTCTCTGATGGTTTGTCTCCCTCTCTGATGACTTGCATTCTGTTTTTCCTCCCTTCCCCTATAGTCCTCTGCCCTGTTTCTTATTTTCCACAGATGATAATTGTCTTTCTCTGATTGACTTATTTCGCTCAGCATAATACCTCCAGTTCCATCCAGTCGATGTAAATGGTAAGTATTCATCCTTTCTGATGGCTGAGTAATATTCCATTGTGTGTGTGTGTGTCTGTGTGTGTGTGTATATATATATATATATATATATATATATATACCACATCTTTATCCATTCATCTGTCGTTGGACACCTTGGCTCTTTCCACAGTTTGGCTACTGTGGACATTGCTGCTATGAACATTGGGGTGCAGGTGCCCCTTTGGATCACTACATTTGTATCTTTGGGGTAAACACCCAGTAGTGCAATTGCTGGGTCCTAGGGTAGCTCTATTTTTAACTTCTTGAGGAACCTCCGTACTGCATTCCCGAATGACTGCACCAGCTTGTATTTCCACCAACAGTATAAGACATTTCCCCTATCCGCATCCCCACCAACATTTGTTGTTTACTGACTTGTTAATTTTAGCCATTCTGACTGGTGTGAGGTGATATCTCATTGTGGTTTTGATTTGTATTTCCCTGATGCCAAGTGATGTGGAGCATTTTTTCATTTGTCTGTTGGTCATTTGTATGTCTTCTTTGGAGAAATGTCTGTTCACATCTTCTGCCCATTTCTTAACTGGATTATTTGTTTTTGGGGTATTGAGTTTGATAAGTTCTTTATAGATCTTCGATACTAGCCCTTTATTTGATATGTCATGCAAATATATTCTCCCATTCCGTAGGTTGCCTTTTAGTTTTGTTGACTGTTTCCTTTGCTGTGCAGAAGCTTTTTATCTTGATGAAGTCCCAATAGTTCATTTTTGCTTTTGTTTCCCTTGCCTTTGGAGACGTATCTTGAAAGAAGTTGCTGCATCCAAGGTCAAAGAGGTTGCTGCCTGTGTTCTCCTCTAGGATTTTGATGCATTCCTGTATTACATTTAGGTCTTTCATCCGTTTTGAGTTTATCTTTGTATGGTGTGAGAAAAAAGTCTAGTTTCATTCTTCTACATGTGGCTGTTCAATGTTCCCAGCACCATTTATTGAAGAAACTGTCCTTTTTCCATTGGATATTCTTTTCTGTTTTGTCGAAGATTAGTTGACCATAGAA